CTTCTGATTTTTGTATCTTCGTTTGGCGTTGGGCCTGAAAAAGGTGGCCCCACAGATAGTGCACAGTAAACCCCATGAGCCTTATGGCTGGGTGACAGCCGCAGGCTTGTCTCTGCAGTCCTCGGGGCTCTCTGAGGCCTTATATTTTCACTCTATAAACCACCCAGGCAAACTCATAAAATAACTCCAGAGAAGGAAAACTAACAAAGAAAAGGCATGAAGGATCTATAAACACCACAAGCTTCCTGTTTCCACTGGCATCCATTGTAATCCGATCCTGCTAGTTCAGCACTAAGTGTCTCTATTACTCTCATGGACAAAACCAGTTAGCACTCAAATGTAACAAGTTTTAAAAACTTCGCAAATTCTGTCTAGCCAAACCATGCTGCCTCTCCTCTTGGAGAGGTTCCAATTTCCTTAGAAATGCCAACTTGCCATTGGTACCTCCTACCATTGGCCCAGCACAAACCTCTCCCTGCTTGTCTAACATCTTCATTGCCCTCACCTGATTTTCCAGTGCATGGCACTTGTGAGGCATCACCCTTGCTCACTGGGGCTTCTGTGAGAGTGGAGACTAAACCACCACTATCCTAACTACCTTTTATTTACACATACAACTCTGTTACCTTCTCAAAACAAGAGCATCACTTGCCCATAACTGAGTCAAACCACTGTTGTCCCCCTAATGTCATCAGATGAAGGTTCCCTAAGTCCTGGCCTCATGTCTCTGTGCCTCTACTCATCCAAGGTCTTCCCTCTCTAAACACTTCTCTCCCACTTTCCTGCTCAGATGTTCATGTCCTTCACATTAGGCTCAGGCAGGATGGTTCACCAGGATGCTATGCCCAGACTATGCCAGGACTTTAAGTGTGTTTCCACACTACTGCCCTGATATATCTAGAAATCACCACCCTTAGGTCTATGTTCACCTATGCAGAGAGTGATACTGAAAAGAAGAACAGTAAGCTGCCAGCTCCCTTTCCATGGCACTGAGGCACAAAGCACTGCCTCATAGTGGATGACACAGTTACACGGGATGCTCGCAGCCTCCCTATTGGTGGCTGGACCCAGATCTGACTTCTCTGGCCGGACTCCCCACCATCACTCTGAGGGTCATGGAGTAGAACAGTCATTTAACACTTACCTCAAATGATCCAGGTACCAATTTCCACCTTCAAACATTGCTATAGTCAGGGGCCCACCCCACAGCATCAAAGTCTCTGACCCTTGAGCAGCAGTACCCCACCTAGAGGCCTTCCTGGAGAGTTCCTTGACCAGACTGACTGTTGGCCATCACAAGTCTGATGCATCATAAGACAAAACCCAACCGAAACCCGTACTTACCCTTTGTTCATCTGCTGGCCTTTAGCTCCTGCCTTTGCACCGCGTTCCACAGGCTTCTGATCCCCCTCAAGGAAATCCAGCTTATCAGAGAAGCCTGTGCAGGGAAGAGCACTCCCATCAGCACCACTGTATGTCTAAGAGCATTCAAGACATGGCTGCTATTCCCTAACTGCATCTTAAGAAACACATCTTGACCCCCCCCATTTCCCAAACCTAAACCTAGTCAGTTAAAACCAAGATAACAGCGAAGCACCAGAGAGTTCCCTACTGATACCCAGGCTCCCCTACACTCTTAGCAGACAGACACACTGACCTTTCTGGTATTTCTTGATGGCATTCATCATATGTGCTTTCTCCCGCTGCCTCTTCTGAAGGACCTCAGTTTGCACCTGTGAGACAGACAGCCGCAAAGTCAGTCCTGCATCCCAAACCATGACTCCAGAGACTACCAGCTCAGCCGCTGCTAGCACACTATATTGGATACACCCAGGTGTCCCATGGTGCTAAGTGAACCTGGGCTCAGGGATACCAGCAGACACACTTTAGCAGGATCAAATATGCATAGAGCTAGAAGCAAACCCCACCACGCTCTGCCCTGGCATGCCTGGCCGTGCCCTGTCCCATGCAGGTGCCCTTTCTCACCTTCTTTCCATATTTCCTAAGCGCTCGAAGTTGCTTGGCCTTTTCAGATTTCTCCATGGCAGCCTGTTTAGTCTGCAGCTTCTGTCGAATCTAAAACACAGGAGGTTGTTAGGTACCATTTGGAGCACACTAGAACGGGGCTCCAGTGTTTTACTAGTTCTGAAAGCTGTAGAACTCATGTACTTTCCTAGATTTTCACATAAAGGACAATACAGTCCCAAAGCTGGACCTGGCACCAAAATCGTCAGTGGGCAGCCAGAGCTTAAAAGCGGCCCTGCCTCTCCAAGCATGCTTGTTCCGTCACAAAGCTGCCTGCTTGTCATACAGGACCTGTTTCTCCACAGGTTAAGGCCAAACTTGAACGTTCTCTTCTAATGGCCCACATCTGTAATATAGTTCCTGTACACTCGAACCTTGTTTCTTCCATCTCTCTCTCTCTCTATCTCTCTCTCTCTCTCTCTCTCTCTCTCACACACACACACACACACGCACACACATGTACACAAACACACAGAGTACTAAAAGCATTAAGTAGTTATCAGTGTGGCTGTCAGATGTAGATGGATTTGTGCTTGTCTCAGGGTTAGCTTCTTGGGGTACCACCTGTAATTCTCTAAGATAAAGACTGAGACCAAAGGAACAATTTAAATAAATCCTGGATGTGATGTCAAGGTTTTTTTCTCCAAGTTGACTGAAGATCAAATCCCCTAACTCTTAAACCACACCATATCTGTGTGAGCTAGAGCAAGCCTTCAGTTTCTAGAAAGCTAAAGGCCCAGAGAAGAAAAACCCATCTACAAGCAATAGTATTCTCCTTGGCATTGTTGGGCCCAGAACCATAAGACTATTGTGTCTGTACGTTCCATTCACCCTGCCAGGGAAGAAATACACAAGCCTTCTTTTTTTTTCTTTTTTTTTTTTTTCTGGTTTTTCGAAACAGGGTTTCTCTAAAAACTTCCTTGACTGTCCTGGAACTCACTCTGTAGACCAGGCTGGCCTCAAACTCAGAAATCCATCTGCCTCTGCCTCCCAAGTGCTGGGATTAAAGGCGTGTGCCACCACTGCCCGGCTACACAAGCCTTCTTATTGTAGAGACCACACTCCTTCCAGACCTTCTCTCCCTAATTTGGCATGCCTCAGAAGCAGAGGCTATAGAAATACTGGTTACAAACAGTACATTTTTTTTTTTTTAAAGACTACAGGATATGAGCCAGCTGAAGGAATGGACTTCAGGGGAAACCTTGGTTTTCCAGAGGAAAATTTACCTTTTGCATCTGCTGATCAGACTTGGCCATTTCTGCAAAATAATCAGTGGGCCTCTTCGTAGGGACCTGGAGCTGATGGAGTCGGGGTAATACTGCAAGCACTGCAGCCTGGGCCTGGCGGTAGCTGAAATTACAGGACAGAGTGAAATGAGGGGAGGGGAAAGGCATTCATTTCTTACTGCCTCCCAGAAGTTAACTGACCTCAGAGCTATCACAGACCCCCACCCCCTGCACTGGCAAGATAAAACAAGCAAGCCAACAAAAACTCCACTAATTTCACATATAGCTGAAATTTCACGTTATGTTTATTTATAAGGGGAAAATACTTCCAAGAGTAAATCAGTTTAAAACAACAAGCTTATTTAGAAATATTGCACAAACTATGAACTGTTTCCCAATCATTACCGAAAGACCACTCAAACATTCCCTAGGCAAAGTCTGTTCTAATGATTGGAGGCATCCACCCAAACTTCAAATGAATTATTTTGAAACATCCCTCAAGCAAGGTGCTGGTTAAATGATGACCAAGAACCTATTCTTTCAACCACAGGAACCCCCTTCACCCTCAGGCTTGTGCTAACTCCCCAGTGCCTTTGAGGTTGCAGACACACTAAGATCCCCTTCCTGTAACTCTATGGTAGGACAAACATACAAACTCATTTCTCTCTGGAAGTCGTCTTCTGGATTAACACCTTTCTTCTGGTCCTTGTTCTGGGGTGTTGGCTGAGTTTCACTGACTTCTGGCACTGGACCCAGGGTCACATCGAGCCTTTCAACCCACTCCAGATCCCGTTTGAATTCAGCCAAACACTGCTTCAGGCCATTCTAGGTAAGTCAGACACGCCGCTCATAAGAATCCCGAGTTTATCTCTCTCAAACCCAGTCCTAAGCTCAAATACCCGCACAGGATGACGACCGCAGAGCAGGGTACATCCTTCCCAGAAGACTCGGTCTCCCAAGAAGCACAGAGCCTGTACATATCCCGTTCCAAGGTCCCCGACCCTCGCGCGAACTCACCACGTCATTCACCGCCTTCTTCGGCTTCTCTAGCACGACATTGAGGCCTGGCTTCAGGAGTCCGCGAGAAAACGCATCCTGCAACTACAAACCGGGACGCCTCAATATCGAGGGGGTAAATAAAGTTCCCGTCCCACCCCCTGCCCCGCTAGCTCCGCTGCGAACTACCTCTTGATCTGAGGCCAGGCAATCACCCGACTCCGAGTCCGAGTCTGAGAGCGGAGGGGTGTCCATCTCGCGGCCTCTCGCCCCGCGAGGTTAAGCTTCCACTCCACGTGCCTGGAAACTACACCAGCGCCAGCAACTTCTCCACTAGTTTCTGGCTTTTCAACAGGGACTTCCGCTTCCGGGTGTAAAGCTGCACTTCCGGTTTTCTCGTTGCTATAGGAACTGCTCTGGCGTTTGGGCGTGTCCAGATTGCTCCGGATCTTTAGGAAGAGCACCTACCAATCCCTGCGTAGACTAGTAACCCAGAGCGGTGAAGCAAGAGGTGAATAATTTCTCTGGGGTCCTCCTAATGGCCTGGGGTCGTTGGGGGTGCACGAGAGGAGGCAAAGCTTGGAAAGAGTAGCAAGGGTGGGGTGAAGAGGAAGAGGAGTCTGGGGGCGGGGCGATGGAGGGGCGAGGCGGGGTCAGGGAGGGGCGGGGCGGAGCAGGAAGATGCGTTGTGTGTCTTCACTCCCACCTGTTTGCCTCTTTCTTCATCTTTTGCAATACTCTTTGACAGGTACCATGTCCACCGTGGTAGCTCAGTCGCTTCATGTTTTTGGTCTTCGGGCTCACGTGACCAACAATATCTTCTTCTTTGATGAACAGATCGTTATATTTCCTTCAGGAAATCACTGTGTGAAGTACAATCTAGATCAGAAATGGCAGAAATTCATTGCAGGTAAAAAAAAAAGAAAGAAAAAAAAAGAAAAAACCCACCCTTCCCATCCTGACACATTAAAGGCATGTATGTGCTACATACACAGAACCCCACAATCTCAACAATTAGGAAGGTTTTTTGTTTTTTGTTTTGTTTTGTTAACTGGGTTATCCACATAGTTTTACAAATGTAGGCAAAATAAATGTCAATTTACACTGTTTAATCATAGATTAACCTGACACAAGTAGCAAAAATGACACGTTAAAAAACCATTTATTTTAAAAGTACTTTTTCGGGCTGGAGAGATGGCTCAGTGGATAAGAGCACTGACTGCACTTCCAGAGGTCCTGAGTTCAAATCCCAGCAACCACATGGTGGCTCATAACCATCTGTAATGAGATCTGATGCCCTCTTCTGGTGTCTCTGAAGACAGCAACAGTGTATTCATATATAATAAATAAATAAATATTTAAAAGTACTTTTTCACAGTGAGTTCAGAGAAGAGTTACTTTAAACAGTGTTTTCCTCGTATTCTCCTGAGGTTGGATTTGTCCTCTCCAGAACCCTCTTTTGAGTCTAACAGTTTCGAGAGTACATCATCTTCATTGAACCCTTGTATGATGGAGACACTGGAAATTTTATCTTAAGTGACAAATAACCTTTCTTAGAACCTGCCTCCTATTTTTTGTTGACATTAGTCTAGGCAGTGATGTTCATGACATTCCCTCAGTTTTTCTTTTGCACTGACCATTGTATTGCTTCATATGCATATATAAAAGACCACACTACATATATGCAATCACTAATGGTTTACTATTACATGAAGACCTGTGTACCCAGACACCCAGGATCAGCCAGTTCCAGGGCTTCTTCATTCTTTCCCCTCAACCCCCGACACATACACCCACACCAGCACATCTTGGGTTTTATACAGTTTAACCACACATCTGTGTAACCTTATACAAAGTATACTCTTGCTTTCACCATTTTTCTGTTTGTTACAAATGGAATAATAGTCTGTTCTGTTGTACATATAACTGAATCCATTCCATTGCAATATGGCATTCCAATCTGGGAATACAGACACCCATACACAGACATTACATAGCCATTCTAGATTTGAGGAGTATGTGGGAAATAACAATTGTTTGCTATTAGAAACATGACACCATAACTGCTCTTCCATTCACAAGTCTGCAAAGATTTTCCAGGACACACAGCCAAAACTAAGATTACTGAGAAATATGACCATGCTGGTTTATAAATTCCCACCAACAATGCATAAGGGTCCCTGTCACCCCACCCTCATTAACTCTTGGTATTGTCAAACTTCCTATTTTGTGTGTGTGTGTAATTCTAGTAATCCAAAAAAGGAATCTTGTTTTATTTATTTATTTATTTATTTTGGTTTTTCAAGACAGAGTTTCTCTGTGTAGTTCTGGCTGTCCAGGAACTCACTCTGTAGACTCAGAAAATCCGCCTGTCTCTGCCTCCCAAGTGCTGGGATTAAAGGCGTGCGCCACCACCGCCCAGCAAATCTTGTTTTAGATTCATGTCTTCATTACTAATTAAGATGAGTGTCTTTTCACATATTTATGGAATATCCCTAGTTTTATGTTAATAGTTTTACCAATTTTTCAATTACTTTTGTTAAGTTTTGTTCTAAGGGTAACTCTCTTATTTAATTTTAGATACATTTTACATATTCTGTATGCTAATCATTTGTCAGGTATATATGTTAGAAATAATTAACCAAGTGGTGGTGTCTTTAATCCCAGCACTGAGGAGTCAAGGGCAGATAGATCTCTGAGTTCGAGGCCAACCTATTCTGCAGAGTGAGTTCTGGGATGGAGCCCTGTCTCAACAAATAAAAACAAAACAAAAAGTAAGAAAGAAAAAATTCCTTTCTGAAGCCTGTCCTTTTTTCTTCCTTGTGCTATCTATGAATGAACAATAATTCTTAGTTTTAATGAAGTAAAAGTCATCAAACACCATGTAAATATTCTGCAAGAATAAACTGTATTAACTAGGGACATGGCTAAGTAGGTAAAGCACTTTCCAGGCATGTGTGAAGACCTAAATTTGAACCTACATAAAGCCAGGAGTGATAGCACACATCTGTAATCCCATTGCTTCTGTGGAAAGATGGAGATTCCACAGAAGCCTGTGAGCCATCTAGCCTGGCATGCACAGCAGTGAACTGCAAAAAGACCCTGCCTCAAACAAGGTAGAAGAACTACACACCAGGATGTCTGTCCTCTCACCTCCCCAGGAATGCCATGGCAAACACACACACAGAGAGAGAGAGAGAGAGAGAGAGAGAGAGAGAGAGAGAGAGAGAGAGAGAGAGAGAGAGAACACACA